ACGCACGCACGCACGCACGCACGCACGCACACACACACACACATATACATATATAACTATCAAGGGCAGCCCCGATCTCTCCCCCTCCTCCCTCTTTCCCCCCGTTTCTACTCCCTCTCTCCCTCCATCTGCTGAGAGTCACTCCGGCAGCTTAGATCAGACACTGCGGCGCTCCAGACAAAGGAAGGTGCCGTCAGGCTCACCTACCTCTGGTTTTTGTTGCACTTCACGTAGACGAGCGGGGCTTTGTTGTTTTCCTCTTTGTTTTTGTTTGCTTCGGTTCTGACATCGCTGCGCTACTTTCCAAAGACTTTCAGAAGAAAATGAGACCTATGAGATAGTTGTTTTCCAAAACGTTTAATAACCTGACATCTTTTTTCTTTTTATAGTTCAGTTCCACATCGCTCATCTKTATGAGATTCAGGTAAGTGAGTTGGCATTTATTCTATTTAAAAAAAATGATTGTATTTTATGGAACATGTGTATCTGTTGCCCTTGCTCTCAAGGGTACAGCACAGGATGTTTTTGTACTTCTTTCTGTTTGTGGTGCGTGTTTGTGTGTCAATGATGCAAAAGTTCCCAATTAAAAARAAAAGAATAATAAGAAGAAAATCAGAGGATTGCCCTGTTTTCTTCTTGAACTAGGTGCTGATGAGTCAAGGAGCAATCAGGGTGCATGAGTGAGTGGGCAGCATAGCAGGAGGAGACGGGGCGGGCGGGAGGGGTGTAAGATTAGCCGATCATCAGGGTTGCCACGGAAACAGCAAAGTCTGTCTCGCCCTGTTTTGTATGCCGGCGGTGTCTTTCCTCTTCTGTGGAGGGAGCAGCGACTCTTTGCAGCTAATGTGATCATATGGAGCCGTCTACTTTAATTAGATTTATTTTTATTTGTTATTTATTATACTTGGTTACACCGATTTTCAAAATTCTTGGATTAAAATTTGACTCGTTTTACTCTAATTTGTATTCCCAGAAGAGATACCGGGCTTCCAAGGAGGCTTACGAGAATCTCCTGCAGACGGAGGATCTCCCTGCACAGGTGAAGGCCACTACTCTGCAGCAGCTAGGTAAGATTCCTCCAAGGTTTCTGAGCAACTTCCTTTYCCCCCCGAGGACCCGAGCAAAGCGCCTCGACTCGTTGCAGGCTGGATGCATCACACGGTGGAGCAGCTCGGGGACAAATCCAGCAGGGACAGCTATGCCATTCAGTGTCTGCAGAAGTCTCTGGAAGCCGACCCCAACTCCGGACAGTCCTGGTACTTCCTTGGAAGGTACAAGTGAACATTTAGCTTGTTTCATGTAGAGTGGTGTCAGACTTCTTCCTCGTGAATATGCAGGAGTTGTTACACCGTTKTCCATCTCCCGCAGGTGCTACGCTAGTATTGGCAAGGTCCAGGATGCTTTCATCTCCTACCGTCAGTCCATCGACAAATCCGAGGCCAGCGCTGACACGTGGTGCTCTATAGGGTAAATGTTTCTTCCAGTTTACGCCTCAGCCCGAACCAAGGCCTCGTCTTCAAAGCCTGGAACTTTCCCTATCCCGTCAGGGTGTTGTACCAGCAGCAGAACCAGCCCATGGACGCTCTGCAGGCCTACATCTGCGCTGTGCAGCTGGACCACAGCCACGCTGCCGCCTGGATGGACCTGGGCACACTGTACGAGTCCTGCAACCAGCCCCACGACGCCATCAAGTGCTACATCAACGCCACCCGCAGCAAGGGCTGCACCAACACCACCGCTCTGACCCACCGCATCAAATGTCTGCAGGTGGGTGGGGAAAACAACATTTGTGTGCCACTTAATGGGGTTTGTGGAGAACTTATGKCTGAGGTTCCTGTTTTTTAATGTAAGGATGTCGTAAATTCTCCCAGCGGGTGTTCAGCTCCTTTTTAGAATKTAGCAGCTTTTGTGAACCCTGGTGAATCCTCTTGCTTTTGCACAGGAAGACAAGCTTCTACTGATCTTTCACATCCCTGTAAAACTAAGATCAATCATTTGTATCTAATTCTTTATAAATTTCTACTGTTCAGTCCTCTTTCTAGGRTTCAAAAGAATGATCCAAAGCACCTCATGCTAACTAATAGTGTCCATTTTCCTGCTTCATATAACCAAATCTCTGAAAAGCATATAAATATTTAAGTTTTATTAAGAACCCTGTACAATAGGTTGGAGAATACAGTGTTGGTGTAAAATGTGGCAGCAACAAAAGCAGTTAAAATTCATTAAACCTACTTAAAAGCTCTGTCACAGTTTAACGTTTTAGACAACCTATGCCAGCTTATGAAAAGTTTTTCCAGCACTAAATAGCTTTAAGCYGAAGATGGAATTAAAAAAATCTGCTGGAATCCTCTTTTAGACCTATACATACTTCAGTGAGAACAATTARATGAAATATATAACAGATATGAGTAAAATAGTTGTAACAAAATTTTCACAAGTCGACATAAGTTGTCTAAAAAGCTATAGTGTCACAGAGCCTTAAAATACAGCAAAAAATACCTTTATTTAAATAGTTGTTGAAATACCGAAAACATAGTTTGGCATTGACTATTTCCAAATATACATTATTATTATTATAATTCTAGTTAAAAATTAGGTCAAACAAAGCAAATGCTTAATATTTAATACTCCTGTTTACCTTGTTTATTTAGTGTACAACATTTGGTAGTACACTCGTAACCAGTATATTATTATTTGTTTTACTCAAATGCTGAGGAAAATAGTTGCTGCTGCATTTTTAGGGGGGAAAAAGTTTACTTTATTAAAAACATTTGCATATTTACATATGCTCATCTGCTGCTCTGCACGCTTAGCTAMTAATTTAGATGTTATTAAAGTGTCTATATCACTAAAACATGTTTGTCATCAGTTTAGCAGAGTATTAACCCAAAAAAATAAAGGTTGAAAAAAAATATTTTTTAGGAACAAAATACTCTACTTTAAGGTTATTGGCAATTTACCAACAATTTAGCAAAGGATCTAAATTTTAAAAAGACGTAAAAATTATAATCTTGATTTATTCACACAGTTTAAAAAGATTTGGTGAACAAATAAAATGCTTTTCAAATAAGCCCTTACATTTGGTCTGTTTACAGTTCTTATTTTTAGTTCTCCATTTAAAGTTAGGACAGTGTTAGAAGCACAATTTAATCTAAAGTAGTGAACAGAAASGTAATGTTATGCATATAACTACTGTTCCCTGAAGGAAAGGAACAAGGTACAACACATCATGTATGGAAACCACGCTCCTGCGTGTCCTGGCTGAACCCACCTCTAATCACGCCTTTAGGCAGGTGACGTGATGATGACAAATGTCAGGCTCCGCCTGCACATATATATACTGTCGCATCACAGTCACTCCTTAGTTCGGTAACCACTTTTCACCGAGCCCAGCTGTGCAGCGGGGCCACCATGTGTTGTACCTCATTCCTTTCCTTCAGGGAACAGTAGTTA